TCCTACAAGCTTGCTACATAAAACATCTGGTCATCCATTCAATACGACATTCATTTAAATTATACTAATTCGTGAACAAATCCACAAGAGCCGTGACGAGGATTCGAACCTACGTCTGAGAGCATCCCAGACGCTGCCTTTAATTTCAGTAGAACTTCGGTTTCAACTCTTTTGACCATGACGTAGCTCAATTGATAAAGGCAGCGTCTGGGATGATCTTGGACGTAGGTTCGAATAACATATGATAAAAGAACGAGTGAAATGAGATGGCGGAGGATGCAAGTACAACTAGGTGAGTAGAGAGAAGCAGACGGAGGTAACACAAGGAAGCTCCACTTCCGTCTGGTCCGGGGTCAAGGCTCCTCCACCTCACTCAACTTCCGCACCCTCACTCACTCCTCACTCACCCTTCATTCTACACTCACTCTGTATACTTAACGCACTCTCCTCACTCTACACACTCCCGCCTCCCCGGCGGAGGCGGAAACAAATGAACAGTTTGTTTCACCCTGATGCGCCTATTCCTCTAGCAGTAAATAGGTACCTGTGAGTTAGACAGGTGCTACGGGCTGCCTCCTGTGGATATGTGTGTGTGTGTACTCATCTAGTTGTACTTGCGGGGGTTGAGCTCTGGCTCTTTGGTCCCGCCTCTCAACTGTCAATCAACAGGTGTACAGGTTCCTGAGCCTATTGGGCTCTATCATAGTGTGTGTGTGTGTGTGTGTGTGTGTGTGTCAGAGAGAAATATATGTAGTAGATATAATAAGAGAAGAAATAGATTGGCTAGACAGGCGGGGTCCAAGAGCTAATAGCGCGATTCTGCAGACACAAATAGTAAATGCACTGTAACTCACTCTACACTCATTCCTCACTCTAAATTCACTCATCCTCATTAACTCTACCCTCTCTACGTTCACTCTTCGCTCTTTTCTCACACTCACTCTCCACTCACTCAACTCTTCACTAACTCTACACCACAACAATGTCTCCCTAGGCGTGCACAATGTCTGGGCGGTAAACCTGGTGTGTTGAAGTTAAAAAATATAATTCTGCAGGTGTGTGGGCGGGATGTGGTAAAGCGCGTATAGAGGTAACTGTGTAGGTAAGAGCCCCACACCTGCACTAGGGGCAGCACCTGCACTTCACATGCAGACGGGCACACCAGAATACGTAAACTCTAAATGAACCCGTTAGTGAAAGTAACGTTCTCAAGCATTTACATTCCCCCAGAAATTATACCAGTGCTTGGTATGCTGGTCTGGTGGCGTCAGCTGGGGAATGTGTTCACCCTCTCGTGGCTATATCTGGTGTCCCAGTACTCTCTCTCTCATCACTGGACGCTACTAGTACTAGTGCTACGTCCTACTACTCTCTCTTCACCGGAGACTACCAGTACTCCTACGTCCCAGTACCTCCACGTTTCTCTTCCAGTTGCCTCAGTGAGATGAATCCTCCTGTGACTTAGATTACACAGTGCAGCTGCAGATCAGAGCCAGCAACAGGAAGAGAATTGTTAAAGACTTCAGGTGTGGTGACTACAGAAGGACAAGAACCTTCTGAAATCCAGAGAAAGACGACATATCAAATAATGGAATTTCTTGGCCGGAAATATGCAGATGCCGCGTAATAGTCTATCCCACTCAGACAGGACGTTGAGACAAGCAAGGCAAATCCTTCCATCACTAACAAGTGCAGAGAAAGACTGTTAGAAGGCCGAGGGTGTACAGAGAGTATTTGCCACTGGGGACAATTGGATAGCCCCCCCCCCAAAAAAAAAAAAAAAAAACACAGAAATTGGAACTCCAGATACTAATCTGTTATCAGCAATTGGAAACGGCATCGCGAAACAAGCAAATGACCAGCCAAAGCTGTTGTATAGCCACTTAAGGAGGGAGACAACAATTCAAGATCAAGTGGTCAGTTTAAAGCAACAAAAGTATACATTCTTGGAAAGTTAGTTTAGTTCATTTATTATAAACGAAATACCCATCCTGTGGGCGGTAGTGGAAATGGTTACAGAGGCACATAATGGGCTCAGGGACTGAACCCCACAATTCATTTAGCTAAAAAAGTTAGTCTTGATGAGCTAGTTACAAAATTCAGAGGCGATAAGGTGTGCGAGGAATTCGAGCAAGAGCTCCAGGAGGCCTACACAACAGAACCCGAGAGGAGACGGAGGGTGGCACGTCTGTGAGCCATCAACAACACTACACTGTACAAGAGTCACTGAAGAGATGGTGACCAGATTTCCGGGGCGAACTAGAAGGATCAAAAGCCATAGAGCTGTAAGACGCTGCGACCTGGAGAAGAACCGGGTAACGGCAGGAAGACACATTTAATCCTACAATACAAGAAATATTGAAGGCAGAATGTTCTAAGCTATGGACCAGAGTTTTTTTATTTTTGATGTCGCCGGAGGCGGCTAGTTTATTGTGCACTCCATACTCATCTTGTGAGCTGTAGCGCAAAAAGCATTTCAGAGGGCACAAAAGGTCTTTATCAGACCTCATCTTAGATTATTACGTAAACAATTTCATCTATCACCAGAGTTCGTAACATACGCCCCTTGTAAAGTACTGGAGACAGAATGTCGGAGCTCATGTAGATGATACACTTTGTCATCAGAGGGCAACAATGTATCAGGATGAACAAAAATGCCGGACAAATTTAATAATGTTGACCAGACCACACACTACAAAGTGAAGGGACGACGACGTTTCGGTCCGTCCTGGACCATTCTCAAGTCGATTGTCCCTTCACTTTCTAGTGTGTGGTCTGGTCAACATACTTCAGCCACGTTAGTGTGACTCATCGCCTGCAAATTTAATAATGATCATTGACCTGGGACAGGAATCATCGAGTGTTTATGCACCCACTTACGAAATCTATACATCTTTCTTCAGTTATGGCGGATTTATTTGCATTTATTAGTTTACAAGCTTCGAAACTTCACAATCCAAGTTCATAATTGTTATAAACACTCTCCTAGAGCTTCGCAAAAAGTTTACTGTAAAGTCTATAGGAAAACTTACAGGAAAATCTACAGGAATTTCATGCCCTAACTCAATCCTCAAAACTGAAAATGGTCACTTCTAACACACCCTTTTAACGGGCCAGGAAAATCCACAGGCAAGTCTACGGAGAAATATACACAAATTCCACGCCCAATCTCACTCTTCAAAATAGAAAAAACTGTCATTTTCGTCTCGCTTTCCACTACTATCAGCCCTATAACACAATAGTGGTTGGTTACTGATACATCACAAACTTTTATTATTATTGTCATTGAGCGCTAGGCCCGTAACCCCTCCCTCCCTTCTCCCCCTCCCACCAGTACTGGAGTCTAACCGGTGAGGTTCCTACCTCCCTCCCATCTCCCCCTCCCACCAGTACTGGAGTCTAACCGGTGAGGTTCCTACCTCCCTCCCATCTCCCCCTCCCACCAGTACTGAGGAGTTGGAAGATTGGGCAAGCACACTGAGCCCGGCGAGTCAGCCCCCGCCACCACCAAGCTGTCCTCCTGGCCTTCATCCTCTGTATTTCCTGTCTCCTTCACCTCCCTCTCTCTACCTCTTGGGCACACACACCCTTGTCCTCCCTCCCTCCAATGAAGCCCGCCCTCCCAATATCACCACCCTTCCTCCTTCCCTCTTCGCGGCACATCTCCTGTGCCAGGTAAGTCCACTACGGGCTCACCATAGCCCGTGCTACTTGCAACTTCTTGCTCAGAGTTGCTGAATCTAAAACAACAACAAATTCTCTTCGTCTCCATGCTCCTTATTCTGTCCATGCTCTCTTGTGCTGTCCATGTTCTCTCTAGTAGCTCACTATCTTAGTCTATTTCTACCTTTGTTGCATGCTACCACAGTCACTGGCTACCAGTCACTGGCTACCACAGTCACTGGCTACCACAGTCACTGGCTACCACAGTCACTGGCTACCACAGTCACTGGCTACCACAGTCGCTGGCTACCACAGTCGCTGGCTACCACAGTCGCTGGCTACCACAGTCGCTGGCTACCACAGTCACTGGCTACCACAGTCACTGGCTACCACAGTCGCTGGCTACCACAGTCGCTGGCTACCACAGTCGCTGGCTACCACAGTCGCTGGCTACCACAGTCGCTGGCTACCACAGTCGCTGGCTACCACAGTCACTGGCTACCACAGTCGCTGGCTACCACAGTCGCTGGCTACCACAGTCGCTGGCTACCACAGTCGCTAGCTACCACAGTCGCTGGCTACCACAGTCACTGGCTACCACAGTCGCTGGCTACCACAGTCGCTGGCTACCACAGTCACTGGCTACCACAGTCACTGGCTTCCACAGTCGCTGGCTACCACAGTCACTGGCTACCACAGTCACTGGCTACCACAGTCGCTGGCTACCACAGTCGCTGGCTACCACAGTCGCTGGCTACCACAGTCACTGGCTACCACAGTCACTGGCTACCACAGTCGCTGGCTACCACAGTCGCTGGCTACCACAGTCGCTGGCTACCACAGTCACTGGCTACCACAGTCACTGGCTTCCCTACCTCCCCACATATAAGTCACGACTATATGAACGTGTTGGCGGGAAGAAGGTGCGCGTGTTGCTGAGGTAAACACGGCCGTCATATATGGGAAGCGTAGCACTAGCGGCTCGACGCGTAGCGACCCTCGCTAAATATGGTGGAAATTGGAGGATGCTTTACCTTCACCGTCTAATTAGTTCTTACATTTCCTCTTGACTCACATAAAAAAAAAACTATATACGAGCAGCTTAAAACACGTTTAAGTAACCAGTCTGTTCACTTTCTCTGGTCGTGTCCCTGACCAATAGAGTTGTCAGGTGGTGGCGGCTCGAAACCTTGAGGATCCATGTAGTTGTAGAGTACTGGTGTGGTGAGTACTGTTGCTTCGTTAATAGTACTCGCTGCGACTACCGTCCTCACACGTCTGCTCAACCACCAGCATGTCAGGTTATTATACAGGAAAGTACTTAGGAAACAACTAACCGTAACCTGAGTGGACGTCCTTCACCCATAATGGCTTCCTCTGCGCAGTTCCGCTTTGACACCGTCCCGTGTTGTGGTCAGCTCTGCCTCTTTTGTTTACTTAGGAAAACCTGGGAAATAAACATGTACTATAGCATCATGTGATAGGTGACTTGTGTGTGTTAGTCGCGGGTGAATAATGGTTCCTGTGTTGGTAAGCGAGTGCCGACTATACAACGTGTTAACCGAGTTTGTAACTGTTGAAGATGCTTGGTCAAGATAGCCTCGCCGCGGGCACCGTCATCCACCAGCGGGTGTGAGGGACATACAGGCGCAGTGAAGTGTTGTCCTAATACTGCTTATCTAACAGTGTCTACGAGGTCTAGCTCACTCTCTCGCCGGCTCACCATGTCCGCCGACTAGTTATGTTGTGTCTAATGCATTACAGCCTATCTATTTTGATGTCCAAATTCTTTGTTAAATCTGGCCTTAAAGAGTTGTGGCTGGCGGGGGACGCCACAACTTCTTTCACTACATTCCCACACGCACGCGCGTGTGGGTATTTACTGTTTGTGTCAGCAGAATCAAGCTATTAGCTCTTGGACCCCGCCTTTCTAACCAATCTATTTCTCCTCTATTATATCTATTATATATAGTTATCTCTAACACACACACACACACATACACACAAGAAGCAGCCCGTAGCAGCTGTCTAACTCCCAGGTACCATTTACTGCTAGGTAAACAGGACATCAGGGTGAAAGAAACTCTGCCCATTGTTTCTCGCCGGCGCCGGGAATAGAACCCCGGACCACAGGATTACGTGTGCAGCGTGCTGTCCACTCAGCCACGGGCCCCCTAGGTGTGTGTGTGTGTGTGTGTGTGTGTGGGTGAATATATACTCACCGTTTATTCCTGTGATTGAACTACAGATCTTAACCTTTCAACCTTGATTTGTTGTGTGTGTGGCGGGGGTGAGATCAGAAGTTAGCGCGGGCGCCGCCTGTTCTCCCGCGGCCCGCCACCTGACCCTGGCGCCAGGCGGTAAATAATGAGTTATTGGTCTCCGTGTGTGAGATAAGGTGTGTGTGGAGCGGTTGTTGTCAGCACAGATGGTTACCACCACCGCCTTGATGGATCACCTCGTGCTGCTTGGATCCACCTAGAGGCCATGGATGTGTGTGTGTGTGATGCCACACTGGTGGATACACAGGGCGGGGCCCTCTCTCCAGGTCGCCCTCTCTCCCCGCTTTATGTTTCGTCCCACTGGACGTTCTAGAATATCTTAATGTAATGGTTCCTGTTTATCTTGTGTTTTGTTGCACTAAATGCTACGTATAGTGTTTACTTCCACTCTCGCCACTCTTAGTTCAATGCACTTTTTCACTTCTCTGTCCAGACTGGGATCCTCCAAGTCTGACATCCCCCAGCATAAGGGAACGCTTCAGCACCCCGAGATAATGTCGCCGTCTATTACTAAAGGTTATTTATGCTCTAAGTTATCTATGTGCATCTAGAGGAAAGTTGAGTAGTGTGGGAGGGAGGAGGTGTATAGTGAGAGGCGAGGGGAGTGTCACGACTAGTTCACAGCGCATCGTGTTGCGCAAGTCCTGACCTGAAGTGTCCGCCGCTCCTTCCATCTTGCTCTAAAACTTTTATATTTTCCTGACGCGATGTGTGTGTGTTAGTGTTTTGTGGTGAGGAGTGTATAAATGGCGGCGGTTTGTCATGTGTTGGCGTGCGGTGTACCGGAGGTGGCGGTAAACACGGAGTTTACAGTGTTGGAGGCTGTTGTTTATCTCACGGCTGAGCGAGCATCATGTGTGTTGGTTGTGAGGGCTTCACGTGCGTCGCTGGTTCTGGGTAGTTATGTCGTCATGCTAATCACAGTAATGTTGAGTGTTGCCTTGTAGTTAACCCACTTGTTAGCTGGTGGTGTGGGTGATTAATGTGAGATTACCTCAGCTGACTACCATGACGCCGAGAGAGCAGCTCTCAAACAACTCTTCATCTTGCAGCCAAAGGACCCGGGTTCAAATTTCCACGGCAGGACATAAGCGTTTTGGCAACGTATGCTTTCATCTGATGCCTCTGCTCACCTAGCATAAAATAGGCACCCGGGAGTTAAGCAACTGTTGTGGGTTGCATCATAGGGAAGGTCAGTGATTGGTCAAGATGGGAGGAGATCTTCGATAAGCCTAAGCACATGTTTGCTGTTCCCGACAATAGGAATTAAAAGGTTTTCAGATGACTCAGTATAGATACACCCTCGTCCTCCCCCTCCTGCGGTGAGGGGGCGCCACACCCGGGCTGGGGGCGCCACACCCGGGCTGGGGGCGCCACACCCGGGCTGGGGGCGCCACACCCGGGCGGGGGGCGCCACACCCGGGCTGGGGGCGCCACACCCGGGCTGGGGGCGCCACACCCGGGCGGGGGGCGTCACACCCGGGCGGGGGGAGGGGGAGGCGGCACAATATCTACTATAAAATTCTGCTCTCATTTTAGTCTACATCTACAGCACGGTGGAGCCTTTCTACTCGTCAATACCCAGAGAAGCGAGTGACCGCTGGGTGCAGGTGGTGCCGGACGCAGCAGCTGGCGCCACCTAGGAGCCAGATCATGTCTGCCACTCTCAGTGTCGTCTTGTTCTTGTTGTTTCAGATTCACCTTCAGGAGGCTGGGGTCGTTCCTGCCCTTGATGGGGTGGTTCTTCTCCGGCCCCGACCACGACGGTCTCCGGGTTTGGAGTCCCTGTGTCTTTTACCAACTTCGAAGTCAACTCCGGAGCTGGAGCCCCTGGGAGCAGTTCGTTGTTGCCTTCAACCTCGTTCTGACAGTTCTAGCGACGGCGCTGGAACCAATCATGTTGGCGTTTACCTTTGGAGACTTTCGGCACCGTGGAGAGGGGGGACCTGCTGCCTGGGTAACAGCTTCTCCTCCGTATCAACCTACCCAGGCTTTGCGCCCTGGTGAGGCCACTCCAGACCGATAACCAGAGCGCAACTCCATAGTCTCCTGTGACTGATGGATGCCTACTACTACTGGAAACAAAAAGTTCACAGCAGCACGGGCTATGGTGAGCCCGTCGTACTCACCTGGCACAGGAGATGTGCGTGTGTGTGTTGTCTCACGTGTCACTTACATGAGTGTGTTGTCGCCACGGTGTTGTGCGTGTCGCCCACGTCAGGTGGCGTGGTTCACGGCTCCTCCCTCGTCCCCCTCTGGTGCTCCACAACCAGCAGGCAACCTGGCTCCTACTTACAGCAGCGAGGCAGGCCCACCTACAACAGTGAGGCAGGCCCACCTACAGCAGTGAGGCAGCCTCACCTACAGCAGTGAGGCAGCCTCACCTACAGCAGTGAGGCAGCCTCACCTACAGCAGTGAGGCAGCCTCACCTACAGCAGTGAGGCAGCCTCACCTACAGCAGTGAGGCAGCCTCACCTACAGCAGTGAGGCAGGCCCACCTACAGCAGTGAGGCAGGCCCACCTACAGCAGTGAGGCAGCCTCACCTACAGCAGTGAGGCAGCCTCACCTACAGCAGTGAGGCAGCCTCACCTACAGCAGTGAGGCAGCCTCACCTACAGCAGTGAGGCAGCCTCACCTACAGCAGTGAGGCAGCCTCACCTACAGCAGTGAGGCAGGCCCACCTACAGCAGTGAGGCAGCCTCACCTACAGCAGTGAGGCAGCCTCACCTACAGCAGTGAGGCAGCCTCACCTACAGCAGTGAGGCAGGCCCACCTACAGCAGTGAGGCAGCCTCACCTACAGCAGTGAGGCAGCCTCACCTACAGCAGTGAGGCAGGCCCACCTACAGCAGTGAGGCAGCCTCACCTACAGCAGTGAGGCAGCCTCACCTACAGCAGTGAGGCAGGCCCACCTACAGCAGTGAGGCAGCCTCACCTACAGCAGTGAGGCAGCCTCACCTACAGCAGTGAGGCAGCCTCACCTACAGCAGTGAGGCAGCCTCACCTACAGCAGTGAGGCAGGCCCACCTACAGCAGTGAGGCAGCCTCACCTACAGCAGTGAGGCAGCTTCACCTACAGCAGTGAGGCAGCCTCACCTACAGCAGTGAATTCACGACAATTATGTAACAATAACAATCTACGGACAATCAAACCCACATTTCAGACGTCATTGGAGTGGTCTGTTAATTGTTTGTCACTAAGATCCAATCGTCTGCAGTGAGAAGCAAGAGAATCGACCCCAACTCCCACTATGACACTCCACATACACTCACAATTCACTATGGAAAGTTGCGTAGGGCTTACGCACCCGTCTGGCCTCCAACTTGGGACAGGCAGACATGGTCTTTTATAGATGTAAAACACATCCCATATAGGACACAGACTGACCGGAGCAGGAGACTGACGGGTCAACACCTGTCAACTGCCTCTCACACACACTGACGAGTGGAAGATGACTGCGAAGACCACTGCAGCAGCGTAAGACGAAGGGAAGGCACATTCTTCACTAACAAAATAAGAAAGAAAGACCTGGGAGAGGACATAACCCCCACACATCTAATGCCAGCAGGATAACATTAGCAGGATAACAAGAGCTGCATAACACACACTGACTCACCTCAATGTATCCTACAGAAACTCGGACAAGGAAGGGGGGAGCGGGCTTTCCGGGCCCTATATACAACGAAGGTGAGACCCATCCTTGAATATGCATCTCCAGCATGGAATCCTTTCCTGAAAAAGGACAAGGAGAAACTAAAAATAAGGTCCACAGATATGCGACGAGACTCGTTCCTGTGCTGAAGGGATTGAGATATGAGGACAAATTGAGAGAACTGGACGTTACCACATTGGAGGAAAGGAGAGATAGGGAAGATATAACAACATACGGGATTCTAAGGAAAACTGACAATGTAGACACAGCATTGTTTAAAGTTAGGAACAGCAGAACAAGGGATGATAGATGGAATCAAGAGAGGCAAATGAGTCACAGAGACGTCAGATGTAATCTGTTCAGTGTCACAGCTGTGAATAAACGGAACGGGTCAGACGTAGAAGTCGCTGAAGTTAATCCGAGTCAAAATTTTACATGCAAATATGATAAAAGTTTGAGAAATGATTCATTGCCTTAATCTACTAACGTTCGGAAGACGAAGCTGGGTGCC